GTTTTTAAATTTGCGTTTCAAATGCAGTTCACATGTCTAAAATAAAAGCTAAAACAGCCGTTTTTGTTGCCAATGTAATATATGTATTTAACAATTTATAGCACTTCAATTATTAATCAAAATTTGTTCATAGAGACCAACAGAATAGGATACAAAAGTGTTATCATTCACAAAGCAATAGTATATTTACCATTTTTTCATTTATGAACATTTATTTCTGTGGATTGTTTATGCATACAATGAAACATTTGATACCACAGATTATCGGTTTGCTTCTTGAAAGGGATTCTTTTTCTTTTTCATATTCTTTAACAACAAAATTTTTGCGCTTAAATTAGACTTATTAATGCTCATTCATACTTTATTCCTTCACTGATCGTATAACACGATTTCTCATGGAAATATCTCTCAGTCTACATATCAGTCTACAAATACCTCTTAATGTTTAGCAAAATCCGTTTTGCATTTTTTTTTTTAACACTTTTTGCATTTATCACTTTTATCGATGACAAATGTCTTAATGTGCCGTGACGATATGCAAAGAATGACGAAAATAAAAGAAAGGATTATTCTGTTATATAGTTTCAATACTGCACTAATATAAATTATGCAGAGATTAACTGATATTAAATGGCATGAAGAAAGGAAGCCGTTATTTGTAGAGAGGTAAAAGCAAGGTTTTTTAAATAGACTAATTGATTTTGTAAAATTGTCAAGTGCTTAATTTTATTATTATTCTTGGCGCATTTTATGCCTGTTTTCTTCTTTTTATCAAAAGAAATAATTTTTTTTTCTTTTTTTCAGCCATCAAATGAATACAGGAATTTTGAGCGTATTTGAACCAATATACGATTCAACATTCAAATTTTCTGAATTTTTATCTCAGCGGCACAATGGAACCGATGTGGTGCTGAAGAAGTACGAAACAAAAGTAACTGTTTTAGAAAAAAGAAATGTTTCAAGAATTTTTGGTTATAAGTGAAAATTTAAAAATGCAATATTTTTCTCCTTTTTATAACAAACTTTTGCTAATCAAATCGCTTTACATTAATCTTTGAAAAGTGTTTGCTCGATGTATCATTTTTTTATTAGGAATATAAGTCGGTTTAAAAGCAAAAGTAATTTTACCGTAAAATATGCATTCACAACTCTAATTCTATTTATTTGCTTCAATTTCAGGAAACACTTTTGAGTTTCAATTTAGTACTCTTATATTTGAAGTCTCAAGATCGGGTATTCACGTTATTTTGTGTTATCAGTGCAATTTTTGCTCTGATAGTTCTTATTTCCATTGTCTTCTGTATTGGACGGTTTATATTTGGTAAATTTGGTGGTCATCGATATCAGGTTGGTTTAAGAAATCATTAAAAGTTATTTATTTTTCTGCCGTAAACTTATACCTAAGGTATTTATTATAATTAGTTTATAGGCTCATCCGACAAAGCCATGCCGTTTTCGAATTTTGCTGACACTGTTCTTAATTTTTTGGTTTATCGACTTTGGTTTCTCTGTACTTTTTACGTACGGTACAGCCGATTTTTATACCTATAAACCAGTTACTAGTCATTATGTATCATTAAAGGTGCGTTACTGTACTCCTAAACTCTTTTTTCATTTATTTAATGCTAAAAGAAAAACCGAAACAGGAAGAAATTTCCGTATTTCTTGCTCAGTTTCTTGAAAGGAAACAAAATGTGCTCACAATTTAGAATATTACTGGGAAAGAAATTCACGGTGCTTTCGCAGCTAATACATCGTCGACACTGAAACCAACGTACAACGACAATGCTGAAGGAACAGTTTTAAATCGTAACTCTTCAGTGCAATTGGATAGCAACTCAACTGAGCAAGCGGATGATCTTTTTGAAATTGTACATGAAGAATATGGTCAAAAAATTGGTGGTGGGACGGACAACAACGAAGTAAGTTTCTTTTTCTTTTACGATTTTTTCGCTGCAATTTTGCTGCTGATATCAGTATGATTTGTTTCTTAATTTTTTTTTCGATTTCTGTAGTTGATACTGCAGTCAGATCCTCGATTACGTAGGCAAGTGTCTGTATTACTGATATTGAGCAGTTGGCAAACAGTGAATGGCGTTAGAATTTTATTTGGTGGCTTATGTGAGGCAATTAAACGTAGTAAGGAGTTATTAAGCTGGTGAAAGTGTTGATATAAATTTGAGCTTATGAAAAACTTTTTGTGCAGAAAAGCCACTTGGTTTTCACTATTATAGGTGGTTACAAAGAGTAGAAAGAAACAGCTGGTTTTTATAAAATTGGCTACTGTAAGGGGAAAACATATGGAAAAATATAAAGAGTGAAAAAATGTTTGTAAAAAGTAATGAACTGCTTGTCAGTACTTATCTTTGATTGTTTCTGGTGTTCTACTTTTGATTTCAATTTGTTCGAATAGGTTTATTATTTTTTGGTTTTTCAAAACAATTTTTAGTTGTGTTTTATATACGCTGTTTTCAATAAGCAGCGAAAATAGTAAGTGAGAAATGTTTAATGATTGTATCTGAAGAGTTTTTTGACTGGGCAGGCTAGAATTTCTCGTAAAATGAAAATTTTTGCTTTCTTTATATCGCTTTCTGTGGCAGAAGCTGTAATAAACGATGTCTAAAAAATATGGAAGAAAAAATGAGAATTTCAACGGTGAATAAACGGAGCTTAATGAGAGGTAGGAAGAAGAGTAAGGAATTTAAGAAATATGAAAACTAGCAGTGTATTTTAAGTGACTTATTGCTTTGGTTGTTGAATTGAGACATTGGTTTCTAAACTACGGAAAAGAAAGACTTTCTTGGGAATTTTCCCGTCTGTTATGTTTCGTTTACTCAGCAGAGTGAACGAAACATGACAAACGGGAAAATGAAGTCTTAGCGAAGAACTGACTAAAAATTCCTGCTTGCTGAGTAAGGCTTCTATGCGACCTGAAATGTTAAAATTTGTTTTTTTTTTTTTTCTGGGTTAGGAACAGAAAATTTTTCTGGAACAAGTGAAAGATGCTTTTCCGCAGTAATGCAACCTTCTTTCAGCATGACTGTTGTTGAAAAAAATACCACTGTTTAGTCGAACAAACCAGTTTAGTTGTTTTATGGAAATTTTAGCTGGATTACTTGTTCATCTTACAATTTTAAGTATGATTTTGAAGCAGTAAAATGTGATAAGGCTTGATGGTCTTTTCAAAGAAGCTGTAACGACTTTTTTGTTGTAGAAGTGTTACCAAGGGAACACCTATGAAATTTTTTGTTTGTTTTTACTGGATTAATAAATTTCTAATAAGTTATTTTAATTCTTAAGAAAAAAGGATTACTGGATAATTAAAGCTTGAACAGGAAAGCAAAACTACCAGAGGTTTGTTAAACGCTCTTTGATGGTTGACTAAGGGGCAAGAAATTAGTTGTTAGGCTGAAGAAAACTTTTTTGTAAAAAAAAAAGCGATTGTGTCAAACATTGTACAGGTATCTTAATCTGGTGTTTGAACGTAGAATTCAGCTTTTTTGTACACAGAGTTTACACTTCTTAAAGTAAGATGTCTAATCTCTTAGTATGATTGAACTGTTGTTGTAACAAAGTTCATAACCCAATAGGCGTGTTTCAGGGGGTGAAAACGCTAAGCTATCGCTTAACTTACTATAATCTTCACGAAGATGTTGTCTACCAATTAGCACTAATCAGTCTGGTCGTTGTTTTGCCGATTCTTCTCGTCTACTTTGTTCTCTCAATATTTACCATTATTATCGGTAAATTTCTAGATAAATTTTCTAATTCTTCTTTACAATGATTTTCTTGCTTCACTTACGAGTGCATTTTTAGGATTTATAACAGAAGGCAGACACTAAATGCTAATCAAAGAGTTATTAAATAATAGTTGTTGAAAACACTTTTTTTTTTTTGTTTTACCACACATCTCTTGGCTCGTTTAGGATCATTGTGCTACTATAGGAGCTACCATCCCATTGATCGTTCAGCGTTGTCGAATCGGATGGGTCTTTGGACGATTCGTATGACAGTTTTTTTGATCGCTGTCGCTTCTTTGATGGTTTTCTTGTCTGATGTTACATTGGTTTACGCACAGTTACATTCACAGCTTTGCCCAATGGTTCAGCAGTATGTAAGATTTTGAATGAGAATAAAACAGCAGTGTTCATTCAATACATTTATTTGATTGGTGTTAAAATTCAAAAAGTTTTTTTAAATTATATTTTGGGTCATCTTTTTTATTGTTACTTTTTTTCACAAAATTTATGTATTTGTTTATTTAACGGGAAAAAGTCAGGAAAAAAAGATTTTTTTGTTACTACAGTGGTCTTTTCCTTCAGTCTTTTGCGTTTTTTCTTTGGTCTAACATATTAGTACTGTTAGGAAGAAATAAGTAATTAATCAATCAAAAAAAAATCTGCTTCTTTTTTTCGTTATTTGTTAATAC